GGGAATCAGGGCTTCAAGGGGACTGAACTCCCTGCAGCAGTAGTGCAGGGTTCACAGTTATCTGGGAAAAATAAGATTGTTTTATTTGGTCGTGGTTTAACCTCAGCGAGAAACTTGGTACCACGCAGCCACTGGGTCACCTCCAACCCCCCTCCAGTGGAGGAGGAGGATTGAGGAAAAGACAATGAAGCTGATTGAGATAAGAGCAATTTAATAATTGAATATAATGAATGTTATACTGATACTAATAATAATATTAACAATACTACTAATAATAATTAAAATAGAAAATACACAATGCAACTGCTCACCACCAACCAAGCTGATACACAGCCAGGTCCTGAGTAGCGAGAGCCCAAGAGCGAGCGCAGCCGAGTCCGAGCAAGCTCCATGAGTGAGAGCGACCGGGAGTGCCAACTGACCCCCCCAACTCAGTAAGGCACTGAACCAGTGAGCTAACACGCTAGCTGTGCCCCCACCCCCAGCTTACCTTCCGAGCATGACGTGCTATGGAATGAAATGCTCCTTCGGCTAGTTTGGGTCAGCTGTCTGAAATGTGCTCCCCCACCGCTTGCAGTGAGAAAGTCGGGAACGCAGGGGCAGTATCAGGAGCTGGAAAAGGGCCTGAACTGGTGCAAACACTCCCCAGCACCAACAGAATGACAGCAGTGTTATCAGTGCTCTTCTCAGGCCAAATCCACAACAGCCTCATACCAGCTACTGGGAAGAAAATCCACTCTGTCCTGACTAAAACCAGCTCTTATTCCAACAATCCAAGAGAGTAAAGCGTCCAAGGATAGGAAAGCTATGGAGGGGTTTGCTGTTGTGGTAGGTAATTTAAATGAATCCTGAAGCCAGAAGTTCACGTGTCCCCCACATTCTGAAAACTGAGTGACTGTGTCTCTTGGGAGTTTCCAAAGGGCTGTGAAGCCTGGAGCAAGGTTTTTAGTTATTGAGGTTCATCATGATCACCAAGGAAATTGCAGTTAAAAACTTCACAAACTGTTAACAGTCCGGTGCACAGCTCAACAAAAAAATTACGTGTAGTTACTTCATGATTTCCAGAAGTCCAAAAAAAGAATGGGGAAATCAAATCCTGTTAGTTTTCCAGTCAGGTCTGCAAAATTCAGTCTTAAACAGGCAGGCAGAAGCTCAGAACACCTGAACTCCTGCAGCAGTCACCACGAGAATTTAATTAAACTAGAGTTAATTACTGCACTGTTTGTAGTTCTGTAGCTGGCAGAGCCGTTGAACTCCAAGGACTGTCTTCTTTCCTCTAAACGTTCCACCCTAAGGAAAAAGGAGCTCAAACACCTGAAGAGCTGTAAGCCAGAACGCTGCACGCGCGTCCTAACGCATCCCCGCTCTCCCCCACGCAGGCCGAACGTCGAGACGATGACGGTTGACACCGTGTGCGGCTGCTGCAGGCCACTGCAGATCCTTACGAAGGAATTCCAACTGCCCTGCCGAGACCCAGATAACCCCGGAAAAAGCCTCACGATGGAAATAATGATCTTCAGCGGCTGCGCGTGTAACGCCGACAGCTGTGCGCACTAGCAGACCTCCAGGTGGCCTTAGATACCCGTCTTTTGTAACGAAACACCGATCACAGTCACACTCCTTGCTGGGTGTTCTCTTGTACCGACTCTACAGGAGAGCCCTGAGCGAGGCTCCCTGAGCCGCTACCTGGAGCGTCAATGAAGTTAACCGATAAATTATTCCTGATCAGGAGGGGGGCAGGGGGGCAGGTCAGGGAAGGAGAAAAAAAAAGAGTGGGCAGGGTGGGAGTTGGAAGACCATGTCAGAGTGCGTCTGGCCTTGCTCAGGGTGATACTTAACCAGAGGCTGAAGTCCGGCCTACGCGCTGTGCAATAGCAGAAATGAGACATTCAAATAAAGTAAAAGGAATTGAATCTGCTAACCTATTTCTCATTATGTGACCAATTACTGTAACTGACAACATTCCAGTAGGTTCTGGACAGCTGAACTAGAACCTGCGGGACAGCCCGCTACTCCACTGGGAGAAGAGACAGCCCAGGTGACCGGTCCCCTTTCCTCTGACAGCGGACCCGGCACTTGTGCTCGTCACCCAGACGCAGCTGCTGTCAGAAAGCAAGGTGCCCCGCGGACCACACGCTCACTGCGAGCTTCCCGCATTCACCCTTAATGGGCTGGGACGTTTCCAGGAGCGTCAGTAACAGACACGTAGCGGCTTCTGGATGAAGCCGCAGTTTGCGGGGCATTTCTCTGCAGTTCAAGCCTCGGGTAGCTCGCTCACAAGCGGTTTCTGCTGGCGGCCAGTGGGCTTTGCTACCCTGCCATTCAGTTAAGAAGTCGTAGGAATGCACAAAAGGTGACAGTGCCCAGGTACTACTTCCCCTTTAGGAAGTTTCAGAGAACGAAGATCCCCAGGCAGACACTAAAGCTTGAGCAAGGTTATGCAGCCTGATTACCGGGTTTACTCTTCCTTCGCAGTGACAACAGTTACACGCCCTGCCTGTGGCACAGGTGTGCGCTTCGGGCTCCGCCATACCCCGCTCTTTACCCCTGCGCTGCGGCACGCATCGTCAACGCGCTTGCTCGTTAAACACGAGAGGAAGAGGTTTTACAGCAGGGTTTTTTCCCCGGGAAGTTTCTGTAACACGTGACTGAACACACCACCGCAGAGTCAGTCTCGCGGGGGAGCGGACACGCGCAGGCCAGGGAAGACCAAGTGAACACAGCCCACCAGCAGCTGGCAGGGAAGAGTTCACCACGCCGCATCACATCCCAGCGGTTCCATAACTGCCGTTCCACGCGGGCGTTCTTTACGCTTCCGTACCCACAGACAAAACAAAGAGGACAACTGGATCTGTTCTAATCATTTATTTAATCTTAATACGTTCTTCTGATGAATATAGTCTAATATATAGTCTTCTATATGAAAATCCTCCACTTAATTGGACAGAACTTTGTTTTTATACAAATAAGACGATCACCATAAGTGTTACATACGGGAGTGTAGGTCAATGAACATACGCTACCTGGTTTGCTATTCAGTTATTTTCACATGTCAATGCTTGAAAATACTGTACTTCAAAACAATAACACTGTTTACTGCAGAAATTACTTGGTCTGCTCGACAGGATACATCACTTTGGTAAGTTAACCATCAGTCACAGAAAAATAATCAAGTATTCAGCCTTACTGTTTCACTTTTCTGCTCATGGCTTCACTCAGCTGACGTGTAATACAGAGCATGAACAGTCATAAGCTTAACACAGTCACCACTGAAAAGACATTTTCCCTCGCCCTCCCCCCCCCATTTTTAATGTACAATTTAGCACAGCTTGAACCAAAGCAAAGTGAACTAAAGCAGTGCAGTGTCTCAGGGTGTCTGATGAGGGCACAGAACATCTTCAGGGGGACACACCTACAGCAGGATTTGGAAAAACTGAAAAAGAGAAGCTCCTCCCCGTCTCCGCCAAGACTCCCTTTAGCTCAGCACAGCCGGCTCAGTGCCGCAGCCAACAGCGTGGGTAAGACCACCGGACTAACGACACAGCAAAGGACAGCACACAAGGTAGCCCACTCCCGCTTTGCCAACTGCCAACCCCACTGCAGGAGCTGCGCGTGAAGCGTTTCCGAGACCGTGCTTGTGACCAAAGAGTCACGATTCGCTACCGGAAAGGCCAGTTAAAGAGAACTTCTGCAGAAAGACCGAGCCTATAGCCAAGTTTTCAGTCATAACATCCAGTTACCAGCCATTTCTGGAAAAAACAAGACATGTCCCAGTGACACACACCACAGCCAAATCTTTGTCCCTCGTGTTTCACTTGCACTCAAGCACAACCACTAGCCTTCAACCAAACCGAGTAATAACCGCCCAGTTCCGTCCTTTAGCTCAAAGCACTGAAGGAAAAAGCAAGGCACACTCAGTCACGCAGAACCCCGTCCCCTGCTGCGCACTGGGCAGCGTGGCAGGAGCCTCAGTTAACGCACTGTGTCATCACCAGCACTCAAAACCTGCACGTCATGGGCATCCTGGGCTGTGCGCGTTGTGAGACACCAGCCCCAGGTTTCCTTTAAACTCCCTCGAGGGGATCTCGACCCGAGATTCACTTCTCGTGTCAGCTGACTGTTCACTGTGACCTGTGGTACCCGCAGTTTCGAACTGTACTACCTCCCGTGCCTTGTTTCAGTGGCCTTTCCTGCATCTCAAGGCTTGAAAAGCGTGAGCAAAAGTTGTGTCCACCTAATGCTGCCGAGGCCAAGAGTCTGCTGATGTGGTTCAGTTAAAAAACACTATAAAAGCTGAACATTTGGGGCTTTCTACTCGTGGTCTCAACAAAAGCCTTCTACACCACGTTGGGTATTTTTACCACCACTGACAGACACGGAACCATTCAGATATCACGTATTCAACCTCCCAGACTTTAACATTACTGTATACTGGGGAAAAAACAGTGTGTAGATTTATATTCTCATCTAAAAGCGTGCATGCCATACAGCCCTTCCAGAGCCCACTGCTTCCCGCTTCTCCTTTTACACAGTACCGGACTCTGCAGTTAGTTGGGTCACATCGTTAGGACTATGACTTGCTAAGTCTGATGGGAAACAAAAAACCAGACAGACTTCAGCGTGACTAACAACGAACAAGCAGGTACTCATTCACCATCTACCCGAGAAGCTCACCTCGCTGTCCGAGGTAAGCGGCAGGATTAAGAATAGCTTTTGGGTTCGATCCCCTTTCCAAAAGAGCAGAAAACATTAAGATGTAAAGAAGTACAGGAGGAAATCTTTAAAGACTCCGCTCCTGTGGCATTTTTCAAACACAAAGATCGGTGACACTCACGTACATGTTCTGCTGAATGAGATTCAAACACATCTTGGAATCTGCCAGTGCCAGCCAGTACAAGGCTTGGGCAATGGTCACCTTCACAAGCTTCTGACTCCACATCAGCAGCTGAACTGACCTCGCTGAGCACCTTCCGTTGGTTTCTTTCCGCTCAGAGCGGAGGGAGCACCTGTTAAAGGCGCTACGGCTGAACGTTACTAGCCACTTCCAGTTGAAATCCTGGGTTAGCACATCTAAATCAACTTCCCTTTAACAGGTTTAAAGCCTGACCTCTGCAACAAAAAAAAAAAAAAAAAAAAGAGCACAAGAGAGCCCTCCCATCCCTTGTGTAACACACACAGCCATCCACAACGTAAAAAGTCCCTTCCCTGTACGGTGTATTTGTAGTCTTAATTTCAAACAAGGGTCAAATCCTATTAAGGCAGGGAGCTGGTATTGGTTAACACTGCAGTACTCAGACGGTGATGTACAAGACATTTATTTGCAGTATGATGACAGTGATATAAATGGGAAAAACAAAACTGACATGGTTAATATTAAAACTGTTCTGACAGCAATTCACATAATCTCTGAGATACAGCTTCTTTACTTGTTCGTAGTGTGAGCCTGTACATCTGAAAGAGAACATACAGCATTACTCACTACTTCAACCCACGCACAGTCAGCTAGCGAAAGCTACCCGTTACCTCTGTTCTGTCACACTCCGCAGGGAAAAGACACCAAGTTAAAGCATCCAGAGGCACCAGCCACCGGGTGCTACAGCTTTTCCAACCCGCGGGCTGCAGGACATCCTCAGCTCCTTGCTGAGAGTCGCAACTGCTCTAACATTTCTAGTCTTTAACAGCAAGGTGGTGTCCAAAATTTTTCTTTAAGAGAAGTAAAGGTTGAAGAAAAGTCTAAAGGCTCTCCAGCACTTCTTCAGAAACCAGGAAAACTTCAGCCCTCAGTTAACTCTGCAAAAACCTCTATCCAAGTTTTATAAGAAAAATATTCTTAACATTATGTTTGTTCCCTTATGTTTCTCTTTTAGCTAATCATTCTTTCACTAATTTGAAATGGCCAAGGGAATTGTACTTAATCTTGTCCAGGGTGCACAAGATTCCGACCTTCAGGAGAAGAGTCTGGAATAATACAACAGCCTCTTCCAACAGGAAGGTGAACTGCTACGGAGCAGCAGCTTATCAAACTGGGCCAGGCCCAGGTGCTACAGCTTCCTCTCCTGTGGGAGTGTGCAGTCACCATTAGCTATTGCAATAGCTACGTAAGGAGTTGCAGATACACACAGATACTTAGTTCAAACAAGAACTTGTGTTTCAGCTGTAAAACAGATACCTGTGCCTGGAGGTTGGGTTCAAGGCGCAGCAAGCATCCAATCTGAGTAGTTTTCGTATGTATGATACCTGCTCCAACAAAGTTTGCAGGATTGGGATCTACTTCCTCAAGCAGGGCTGATCCAAAGCCAATGATCTACGAAAGAAACCCAGAAGATTCCGATGTGGGGACAGTGGGACACCAATACCAAGGCTACCCAAGCACAGCTGCCACCAACTCGCAAAAGTAGGAGACTAAATTTTATTTGAAGTGTTCAAGACATGAATTATCCAATACCAATCTTATTACAACAGATATTTGAAGTGACAGTGTGACCCTGGTAATGAGCTGTTTCTTAAAAAAAGGAAACAGGTTCTTCTCGAAAACAACTGAGAAAAGTCAGGCTCAAGCCATCCCCCGTTTCTGATAAAGCCACTCCTGTCTTACACTACTCATTTCTGGTTTGCCTGAGGCAGCCACAGTTCCACAAGAAGTGGCTTGTTTTCTTTTCTAGTATAAATTAAGGCTCGAAGTATCATCCCATTCAGTTTTAAGCACTGAACTGGTGTTTTCTTAAATAGCTTCAAGATTCCAGCTGCTGCTGAAGACTTCATCTCATTCAAAGCAGGAACAGTCCATTCAACCCAGGACTGCCCAGGGGCTGTGACACAACACGGACTGGCACTTCAACAGGATGATCCGATCACCTCATAAACCGAGACGGACAGAGTCAGCTTACACTGCTACCCTTGCACCAGTTACAAAAACAGCATGCTGCCACCCACCTTTGCTTTTGTGATCTCTGCGTCCATCGGGTGTTTTGCTTTAAAGATATTCTGTACTTCTTGTTTCGGACTGCAAGACAAGGCAAGATAACACTGGTGTTGTACCATGACTTCACGGACAGCACCGTTCAACGGCAGCTAATTATGCCGGGAGAGTTTGCAACTCTCTGGATTATGTGGGATGGGGCACTGCACCAGCTACGTTCACAATACCACCCTTTTTCTTCCCTTGGCCCACTACAAGGGCCCCAGAGGCCAAGTACAGACAAAGTCTTACTTGCTCAGTTGCTTCCAACGCTGAAAGAAGTCTTGAGAAGACATCTCTGTCGGCTGGAAGAATTTGTTCAGAGTGATGGGTAATTTTACCGAAAGGTTTTGAAACGTTCCGCCATACCTGCACAACGGGACGGTAAGAACACGGGGATGCAGCACAGCGTTAGCCGTCTCCCGGCCCAAATCAACCAAGCAATCGAGGGCGTACAATAAAGTGCCATTATTAATGACTAAAACCCGTCAACTGCAGAGAGTGTACCTTCTAAGATACAGTTTTAATCCACTGTTAAACTTATGTGCTCTGCTTAGATGGCAGAGAACTGGCAGAACTTCTAACAGGACCTCTCAGTTTCACCAGAGGTTGTTATCCTTCTAGACAGCACCCATCAAAGGGGTGAAGACACAAACACACCAGTAAGAACCAGTTTAGACTAGAACAACAGAGTGTAGCCCAGAAATCAGAGCTTCTCAAAGGCTGATGCTGAGTGGACATAAGACTCTATTGTTGGCTGCATGAATTTCCACTCCAAGTTGTTTGCAGAAACGTTCTTGGTTTCCAGAAGGAAGAAGCTGCTGCATATATTCCTGTCAAGATTTCATAAGCAAACAGGAAGAATGCTCTGTTATACGAGCAGCAGAAGGAGAAGTCGTGGAGACATTTTACCAGTAGCTGCTTCTTGATTTATTTTTTTTAAAAAAACCCACATTGTTCCAAGCAGATTCCCTACCTCACCTGGTAGCTTCAAACTTTGATCCATTTTTCAAGCCAGTCGCCTACACAAGACAGCTTTACATGTCCATATCCTACATTTCAGTCACAGGAGCAGGACAAATTTAACATCTTCCATCTATTTCATTCGCTAGCATTCAAATCCTGTGTCTTACCTGAATTGAATGTTCAGGATTGGAGCTTCCATGAAGTCTGACACTGAACCTGTGCACCTCCATCCACTGTGGGGTCAACAGGTTTTGTCTGAAGATTCAGGCGTAGGAAGTGGTTAAGGAAATTCCTCAGTGAGCTGATAACTTTACACCACAAAAAAAGGCAAATCCTCCAATAAACTACATGAGGAATTTGCATCACGTCCACTCATTCTGTATACGCTACTGAATATTCAAAGCTCAATTCCTGCACAGCTAAAGTTTGTGTTTGTTTCCCCCCCCGCCCCCACTGACAGGCCTATATGCAGCAACAGAAGCAACACTCAGTCATTTGGATACTCTTAGAGAAAGATGCTGTCAAAAAGGTATGAAGGCATCAAGATACTTCCCAATAAAAATCACACTGGACTCTCATTTTGATGTGAACATTACAGTGATGCCTTGAGTCAGACAAGCTTGATTACAGAGTCTCCCAGAAATCCTAAATGTGCAGTACGAAGCATCACGGACAAACTGTAAATTAAGAGCTTATTTTAAAGTACCATCATCTTTGTGTACAGATGATATTCTGCCTCCATCTCACATCCGAGGTTATCTGCTAGTGCAGGACTTGAAGGACACGTCTACATCCCTGCCGCTTCACAGCGGTGAAGAAAGCTATTCAGCCTAATTTCTCCTTAGTTCAACAGTGAAACAAGAGCTTTAATGACAGAATCGTCAATCTCTGCTAAAGACTCGTTCCTCCTACAAGAACCTTCTGAAGTTACCAGAAGTTTCTCATTTCTTCATGTTCAAGGACACCACGCCTGGGTCCAGCAGCCTCATAACACACAACACCCACATAAGCACTGTCACACGCTACTGTACTGAAGGATATTGGACTGTAGGTCATCTGAGCAGATTACTGTTGGAGTAAAATTCAAGAACTGCGTTGATGTCTTATTACCATAGAATATGAACATACGTCCTAGAAAGAGTAAGAGACAGCAGAAATTTCAGGTACATCACATGTAACAATCTTGAACTACTCGTGCTACAAGTACCTAAATACATCCTCCTCCTACCTTTCTTTAAAACAACTTCTAAAAGCAAAGCAGAACTTATGCGGTTTATGTTCCTGAGACATTCACAGCTCAAAATGAAGTGACAGATTAAAACAAACGATCAGGCCTCTCCCACAGCAGCTGTCACACAGGCAGTTAAACAATCAGTGTGAGACTTCCAGTCGCCACAGAACGTTACTTCTTATGTAAAGAAGCTATTACGGTACCAAAAATTATGCAGAAGGGGAGAAGCAAGCAATCCTAGTGCTGGCCTGTGCTCAGTTCCCAGCTCTTCCCTAGATGTTTTCATTATCTTGTGCATTAACGCATTATGGCAGATATGGCTGAAATGCACTGGTATCTCGTTATTACAATAAGCTACACTGCAAGATAGACGAGTCGAGGTGGATGGTCCTTGAAGGCTGTACCAGCCTTACAACCAGGCAGCAAGATCTGGAGCTCAGAATACCATCTAACAATCCCATTTCCTATCAGCTATCAAAACAACCAGGAAGTTTAAGGAAACAAGAACCCAGGGACACACAAATCATGAGGATCCTAAGACATGTTAGGCCTGAAATCACATTTCTCTAATAAAAGACTGAAAAAGGCAGCCCTATGTACAATATTGTGCTGGCACTGGGGTTGATAATGCAGACAGCTAGCCACTCGGACTGAAAGATCTTACCCAGGTTCTGTCGAAATTCAGATTTCAATCCGATTTGTAACAACTGATTTTCAAATAAGACTCCATTATTTTTACACACAAACCTAGGGGAAGAGAGGGAAAATGTGTTTTAAATAGAGCCATACTAAACAATATTTAGAACCACAAAATTCAGGGTTTACACAGAGGATGAAGACTGTGGTTAACCTAGAGTGCATCAGTCTGTGAGAGAGGCCTTTGCAGAAAACTGCAGTTAGAAAAGACAGTTTTACAATCAAAACAACCACTTGTAGGACACTACAAGAACTGGAACTTTTATTTGATAGGATGTCTGAGAAGCCACAATATGCTACACACACACACAGAGTCTATAAAGGACCAGGCAACAGACTAGGATTTTTCTTATTCATATTCTTGACAACTTCTGAAACTCATTAGGTTGGTGCAGAATTGAAAAGTTTGAAGCTTTGACTGTTTAAACCTGAAAGAAAAAAGAATCCCTTGTTTTATCAGTTCTGTATCACGTAAGTCAACTGAGAGCCGTATTTTTTTTCTTTCCATTTTGAGAGGAAGCCCATTCTGCAGTGATTTCAGTCCTTTCTGTCACCCTTCACTTAAAAGTAGAAGAGGTGGTCAGCAAACATCAGCCTTTTGTATACAAGGCACTCAAAACATACTCTCAAGTATCAGTACTTTTGACAATTTACTTGTATGTTTTTCCTTTATTGGTGAATAATTGCAAAACTTAATATACAACTGGCATTGCCTCATTTTAGAGCAGTGTGAGATAGCACTGACTCGTAAAGGCAACTCTAATCTGCATATTCATGAGCTGGTCAAAATCCACAGTATCTACAGAGGTGTTCTAGTCACAAGTCTGACAGTACACGTTTCTCTAGTTTTGCTGGTATTAAGTTAATGCACAATATCGTTTTGTTTATAACTATATGCTGGAAGTTGCCCAGCCTTGCAAGGTTTTATTATTGCTTACTTGTGAAAAAGCTCATCAGCATCATGCACAGTATCAGCTGGTTCCTCAGAAACTACCTCAGATGAAGCCAGGTCAGGGCTAGTTCAGGCAGCACAAAGGAAGAAAGGCAGTAGCGACAGAGATAGCAGGAGTTAGTAAAGACAGCTTAGTGCTTAGTTATTTCTTTTACCTCCTTCCTCAAAAACAGCACTGCTGAGTTTAATGTAAGAAAAGTTTATTAGCTGCCCTAGCTCAGCACACCTAGAAAGGTTTTAAGCATTAGGCAATGTTTTCCCCCGCTTCTCTCCCCCACCCCACCCCTCCCTAATTGTTAGGAACCAGCAATTCTTCCCAAAGACAGGAGACCACTGAGACGTTCAGTAGCTTAAACTTACATGTCTTAAAGAAACAAGTCCTTTCAGGTGTTTAAGTGTGACATCAGGAAAGTTTCAGTTCAAAACCATAAATGTAGATGCACATTCACTACTGCAACTGTGCGCTTTGAAGCGGAGGCCTCGTCAGCCTTAGCGGCACGTCTAACTAGAGCTGCACACTCAGAAACACGCAAGTATGAAGCGTAGGCAAGAATACACGGGCACGCAGAGAATGACTTACCCAAGTAACAGATTAGAAACAAAAGTGAAAACAGCAATAAAAAGAGGCAGGAAACTGTAAGAGGTAACTTCTCAGTATCATTAGAGAAGCGTTTCATCATCTACAGACAGACCCAGGGGTTAGGCAATGCTATACTTTCTTCTGCAGAAAGAGAAAACTCTTTTTAGGTAACTTTTGCTTATGAAGCTACCAGCATTGGTTTCTCTTTTTCCCCCTCTTTAAAAAACCAACTCTAACATGCTCATGTAGCTTCTTAAGGTCTTGGTACTTTTTCACCTGAGTAACCATCGCTCATGGCTCACCAGGAGAGACGCAGGACCATGTCTTAGTTACTGCAAACATGCAACAGGGCAGTGCCGAGTATCAAACTGATGAAAACCTCAATGATCCAGGCAGACGAGTTTCACTAATTACGTCTCTTAGATTAAGATGCATTGCAAGTTTGTCATGACAGCATTCCAAATTTGGTCCTTGACAACAGTAACACGGTCTTTGGCCAGTAAGACGGCAGATTTTTAAAGATACTCCGGGATCTTATACTATGCTTTGGAAATTTTAACCCAACGTTTGAGTGTAGCCAGAGGGGCTTTTGATATTAAAGGGATTAATAACACACTGCATCTACACTAAACTTGGTAATGCCATTAGGAAGACCGTGTATCAGACACCCTTAAAAAAAAAAAAGCCACTTGTTGGGTTTTTCCCCCATTTTCACACCTGTTTATCAGACAGCAGCAAAACAATTTAAGTGTATCTTGAAATTCTGATAACCAGTACCTCTGGATATAATCCATCTCACTGTTCCAGGATCAGTTAAGTAGAGAGACACGAGAATACTTTATGGAAATAAGGTAAGAGTAAGCGTATTCATTATCAGGGCAGATAACCCCCAATTTCAAGATGTATCAAGATGCACAAGAAGCTTAGTTAAACAAAGAAGCAAAACCAGCACAGAGACTAGGCAACACTATTTGTCTAATGTCCTCAGGTTGATTACTACAGAGTCATTACTTCCATGAGCAGAGATACTCAATGGAGGTAGCACATCCAGCACAGAGTTCAAGAACACCTCTCTTGCTGCACAACTATCACCCAGGAAGGCATTCAGTAAGCTGGAACAAAAATTGGAAGTTATTTTTCCTCTAATCTTGTTTTAAGAGACAAATTCTTCTTCAGATTCCTTTCAGGGTGACTTAATTACCTCGCAAAGTTGTCATCAGAACCAGGAGCAAGAGGTGCCACTGCAGAAGCTGAATCTGAAAACACATCCACCAGCAGGCTCCCACTAGAGGACGGTGGGGGCGCTGAATTGGCGAGAGGGGCAGCACCCAGACCCAGCAGATCCGCAGATGGGGAAGGAGTAGACTGGGGAAAGACAAGACACTTTGGTGTTAACACCACAGCAAAACTGAAACAGAGCTGTCTCTTCTGCACAGACAACTAAGCTGTGGCTAAGGGCCTCTCCCCACCCCAAAGCACGCTTTGAATGGACACAAGAGGCCTCGTGAATGCCGTTACCACCTTGCATTTCAATTTCAAGACATTTACAGATGTAGCTCCAGAGAGTTTGTCCCCATTTACATAAGATTTCCAAAAGACAACTGCATCCAAGCACGCAGTGGGGGGAAAGCAGCTGCATGATCCCCTGCTACTTTACAGCAAACACCCATAATCTTGAATTTGAGATGGTAAGTTTTAAACCCCTAAAAAGTCACTTTAAGGAAACCATTATTTTCTCACTTGCATGCCACCTAAACCAGTGAAATAACATCTTCCAAACTCACAACAGCACTGGCATTGACAGCGGCAGGTTCAGCGCTTCCGTTCATATCAGAGCTCCTCTCCTTTTTGATCTCTTCCAGGTCAGTAACTGTGCCTGGGCCTTTCTTCTTCTTCAGTTTAGCCAAAATGGAAGACTCCCTCTCGGGAAAGGGAGGCATTTCTTCCAGCACTGTAGCCTTATCAAAGAAAAAAAGTGCAGTAGTTAAACTTACAGAAAAAGCCAAACCAACTCCTGAGTCTCTGAAGAGACACACCCTTACAGATTGCATAAGGCAAAAGCAGAAGTAGCTATCCACACAGAAAACAACTGTGCAGCTGGTTCTACAGTGATGGAGTAGTCTTGCTTAAAAAAAAAATAAAAAAAATTAAGCTTTCTGAAGTCCTCCCAAACCAGTTGGCTAAGAGAACAGGAGCATATAACTTCTCTGGCACAGTGCTGTTAAAAATCTTAATAACTAGAGATCATACGTCCTTAAGTCATGCAGATCTAGACTGAAATCACACAAGATTACCCAAGGATCTAGTCAGACCTCAGCATTTATTAGCTGCCAAGACTGTGCCATGCTCTGGCCAGACCTGAGCACATCAGGTTAAAACACTGTGAATGGCTAGAGACAAGAAACCAAACCAAACACAACCAAACCACCCACCCCATCAACACAATTACCAGTGTCCTGCCCACCACCAAGTCAGTCCTCACATCTGCATACTGTAGGGCCCTGCACTACACCAGCATTCACTGGCTTCCCAGTTCCGGATTGGCATGCGCCAGTGGTCACCTGTCCCACTAAGGCAGTAACAACTTTGAGTTTAGCTCTAAATTAAAGACAACTGTAGCTTAATTAGGCAGAATAGAATGTGCCCACACTGTGGATCCTTAATCCTCCCTTAAGATTTCTGAGCAATCAGATGAAGTTTAGTGGAGTTACTTGTTGACAGAAGACACAGCTAAAGAGTTCTGCACAGTAAATAAAGTCATCTTTATACCTACCAAAATATCAGTACTGGCAATAGTACTGAGCCTCAAATACTCAACAGCTCTCTGCTGCAGCTCAACATCAGCATTCTTTAGCTGACTGTCACTGCGCAACACATCTTGAATCGTCGTTTTGATTTCTGGAAACAGGTTCACAAACTTGATGTAGGTAGACAGAAGCAGAGCCCGGGTAGGAACACTACACAGGTGAAACTTGGAATGTAGCAAGTTGAACTGAATGAGGGGACTTAAAAAGACGGGAAGAAAAATAATTTGTTCAGTTTTTGTAGAAATGGCAATTCTTAACGCATTACTAGCAAGAGCTGAATCGTTTGTCAACTGGCCTTTAGGAATATTAAACAGACATTAGATTCTTTACAGAAAGTGTTGCTATTTCAATTCAGTATTTTAGAAGGTGTTTTACCTTGATCTTGGATCACCTGCTATGAGATTTCCAAATTCTCCCAAGATGTAGCCACCTACTTTGACAAGATTCTCATGGCATGCTGGAGCTTGAAGGGCCTGTAAGAACACATTAATGGTCATTGGCCTGTACTGTATCAAAAAAGATCTTTTCTGCCACTTCCATGTCCAGTTTCCTAGTCTACTTTCATGTAAGAGCAGACCACAGTTCTAGGCACTATATGAGCAAAGCACTGTAAGTGGTATGACTTCATATAATATATAAGTATTACTTGCTTAAGAGCATTCTTAGGCCCATCTAGCAGCACTGGACTTTTTGGGACAGGTACACTGGCTTAGGTTTACCCATACATCTTTAGGGGTGTCAGAAGGACGTTAAGATACTTGATTTACACCTTGCAAGAACATGCTGAGGTTGTACAAGATAAAAATACTGTCTTTATTGAGTACGAAGAAACACATCGCAAGGATGAGTTCTGAAAGTCAGTGTAAACATCCAGAAAAGAAAATTTTAAAAAAGTAGAAAGTCCATGTAAAGAATCTAAACAAAGTCTGGCAATAAGGCCAGATGTTTGAAAGTGTTCTCCTTTCATCGTTCAAATTCCAGTTTTATCAGATCCTGAACGGAAGGAATGGGGATATGCTTCCAGAAGGATCATCAAGTTATCATTGTGAGTGGTTTGGATTCCTGCACACAGGAAACTACAAAAGAAAAAACACAACCAAACAAAGCAGCAAGCTGCCCTGTAAAAGGCTCCTATTTGTAGTACATTTCAGTTATTTTCCAGGTAATGTAATTTCCTTGCCAAGCCATCCATTCCATGCCCACCAAAATAACAAAACACCCAGCAGAACCCACCCTGCCCTCCCTCACCACAACAGCCCTGGGTGTATATTACTACATGACGTAAGCCAGAGAAGCTTCTCATCAACTTCAAATACAGTCTCTGGCTGTGAAAATCTACGAAGCTAGTTTTACAGAAAGCTTCAGCAGCATTCTGAAATACTAAGGATCATATTCGAACCCCTCCTTAACATGGGGAAGCACAAAGCACTGGTAGATCACATGGTCTTTACTTAATTCCTACCTCATTTTGAAAGTGAATTGAAAAGTTATTCTCACCTCAAAAACAGTCTTTGCTGCATACCCCTGAACATCATCCCTGTTGATAACAATCTGGATAACTCGATACCAGACTTCTTCACTGACATAGTCACCAGCAATGCGAATCAGATTCAAGATTGTATCCACATACCAGGTATAATCCACTGCGTACTTCTCAGCTAGGATTGCAACCTTCAGAACCTGAACACACATCAGAGAATGAAGAAGGTTGACTAGCTTCTACTATACACTGTGTATTGCGACTCACTTTCAACTACACCCTGTGATACCCCACGGTAGCCCAGAAGCCTGGGTTTCAGACGTGTCAGCTTGCTCACTTGCTCCCACAGCTAAGGTTAAAGATGCATATTGAAATTCTGTGCCAGAACACATCAGTTGGCAGGCACATAGTGCTTTGCCCATAATGCACTTCAGGATGTTACATCTGTGGCTTTTCAACTCTGTACATATTAAGACCAATTTATTATTTTCCATTTGCTATAAAAAGCACCATCTAATCACAGAGACAGGACCAGGCAGGAAATTGGAGATTATTTAAAAAAAAAGGCAGGAACTCAGGCTAGCAGAGACAGACCTGAGTCACCAAAATACACCTAGGTCATACTAAGACCCCTATATCCTGAAGCAAACACCATCAGCACAGGACAAGACCCCCACGTTATTTGTCATCAGCTGCATTGATATTGAACTGCTCCTTCAAGCAGTAACTTAAGGGAGAGAAGTCCACATTGTCTGCCAAGTCAGGGGAGTTGCCAGCAGCAAGAAGAAAGCACAAGAGGCAAATCAACCAACACTGTACTCTGGTAACCGCTCCAATCAAGCGGCTTTAGCACCTGTGTTCCGTTTCTGCAGCGGGGTTGTGGCCACAGGGGTGGCCCCTGTGAGAACCTGCTAGAAGCTCCCCTGGCTCTAAGTCAGACCTGTCTGTGGCCAAGGCTGAGCCAATTAGTGTCTCTGATTATTGTGGGGGAAGGGGGAACCCTGCAGAAGGAGAAAGGAGTGGGATGCGAGAGAGACGAGAAGGCAGACATGAAAAGTCAGTGCAGAAAGGCAGAGAGGAGGTGCCCAGAGCAGAGGTTCCCCCACGTGGTGAGAGGGCAGGCTGTGCCCTGCAGCCACGGAGGGTCACAGGGGAGCAGAGACCCCCCCTGCAGCCCAGGGAGGGCTCCACGCTGGAACGGCGGCTGCACCTGGAGAAGCACATGAACCCGGGGAAGCGTGCACTGGAGCAGGCTACACCCTGTGCAAGGGACACACGCTGGAGCAGTTCATGAACAACCGCAGCCCGTGGGAAGGGCTCATGTCCGAGAAGTTTGTGGAGGACTGTCTCCTGAGGGAGGGACCCCGCAGCAGGCCATGGGGAGAGTGTGAGGAGCCCTCCCCACCCTGAGGAGTAAGAAGCAGCAGAGACTGTGTGTGATGAACTGACCACAACCCCCTTCCCCTACACCACTGGCAGGGAGGAGGGTAGAGAAACTGGTAGCAAAGCTGAGCCTGGGAAGGACAGAGGGGTGCAAGGAAGTTTTTTAAGATCTGGTTCTGTGTCTGTTTTGCCTGGTAACAAATTAAATTCCTCCCCCCTGCCAAGCTGAGTCTGTTTTGCCCATGACCATCATCACCGAGTGATCCCTCCCTGTGCTTGTCTAGACCCACGAGCCTTTCCTTATTTTCTCCTCCCCATCCCACCCAGGGGGAGAAGTGAGCAAGCGGCTGTGTGGTACCTAGCTGCTGGCTGGGCCTAAACCACAACTGCACCTAAACTAAGCTAAATAATTACCATACGTACAGGTTTTGGCTACTGTTTTAGCAAAATTGTTAAGTGAGTATTGCAACTTTTGCATCTTTTTTACATGCTGGGAGGAAGGAGATGGATATCATGCCTTTCTTCTAGCTGATTATAAGGTATTGGTTTTGGGAATCCTTAGACTGAGAGAATGTTCTCACAACGTACACAGTATAAAGTTCTACCTACAAATAAGTATTTATCATCATTTTTGAAGTTATTAAACAGTTGATGAGAGTAGAACATAACCATCCCAATCAGTAAATTACACATATGGTGCTAAAGCCAGCTGGGGGGGGGGGGGAAAAAGGAAACAATTATCTCACAATTTCTTCTCTAATGGAATAATCAGCAGTCTCCAAGTAATTCAGCATTTCAGCCACAATCTGTTGGGCGTTGCTTCGGTCACACATCGCGTACAGGAGATCTACAGCTCGCTGGCGTACACTTACGTCTCTCTCAGTCTGCAAAAGCACACACAGCAAGCAGTCAGGATGATTCCACTGTTATTTGGAAAGCACATGCAACTTAGTGAAGACATGAAACTTACTATAATCCGTAGTCAAATTTAAAACAAATGCATTTTCATAATCTCTCAGATACAGAATGAACTTGGATATACCCTTCATATAAGCTATGAGGTTATCAGGGCATTCTCACTTTCCATCACCTAGAAAAAGGCCACTGGAGACTCAGACTGCTTACTGCTTTTAGATAATATTACAAAAATTCAAACCACCAGGTTTTGCTTCTGCAGTATACACACTCAAATGTGTGCAAGTGCTGAAAGGATAGAGGAGTTCGTACAAATACTCCACTACTACCCTAACCGGGGTGAAAGAGTGTGGGGCACCATGCACGGAGTAACCGGCACCACTGGCCACAAATGCACTAATAACTGGCTGAAGTTGTCAAATTGTCACCAGGCTAATCAGCAATTAGCTACCTGCAGGCTTAGCACTGGGCTGCCTTGATCAACACAAGCTTACCTAGAACAGATAGGTACTTCAGACAAATGTATTAATACACTACAGCATAAGCTGGGAAGAAAACAATACAAGTGAACACTGAAGCGTACGAGTAAGTTTACACGCGAATCAGTCTTCCTCTTTTGACTTCCGCTTTTTCAAATAACTATGGCCTGAGAACGTGTCTGTGCTTTCTTAGCTTTCTGATTCTGCAGTGCAAGTTGATCTGCTCCACTGCTCCCCCTAAGCTACTGCAGTGAAGGAACAGTGTCTGATACCAGCAAGACAGTAATAAAACAAAGTCTTCCCAGCATTCTCCATTTTGAAATTCCATGTTTTTGAAAGAATTATTCACCTTCAGTCTACAGCCTGAGGAGATACTAAAGCTACAAGTATCAGATTTAGCATTAAGCTGCAGAAAATAAACTGAATCTGATTTCTGTTGTTGACAATGTTGCAAGATTTTGCAGGATTAAGGAAAAAAAATCTAAAGCAGACTTCTGAGAATAACTCCTTTGGACCTCAAGTATTATTAGCTTAATGGAGGATGGGGGTTTGGGGTAGCAGGGGAGAAGACGACACTCAAAACAGACTGCACACTTAAATATTTACCTTCAATGCATTGATAACTGTTTCTATGTGTGTTTTCACAGCCTCATGTGAGAATTCAGAGCTGGCAAGCGTGCACATGCTTTCCAGTGCTAGGTAACGCAAATTAGTTTCTCGGTGCTGCAAGAACTGACCTAGCTGGTTACAGGCACGGACTAGTAGATTTGGCTCACTGCACAGAACAGGAGAGAAAGTGAAAGGGTTAAAAGCAAGAGGTTTGAGAACACCCAACACAGAATACTACTTCTGCAATGGAATGTCTTAAAATGTATCAAAGTGCCTGCTAAAATGTCCCGCTGGTGAAATGAAAATTCAGATACTGTGAGCAAAAAATGTCTGTTGGATTAGAGTGGTAGGGTCAATACAAAACACCAAAATAACAGGCAGCAAGAAACAAAGCAATAAAGAAATATCCTGACAGCAACATATTTCATTAACACTGTTCAATTCCATTGCTGTAGTTACATTCCAATCCAGCAAGCAACTTCATATTCTGGTCCTTCCTTCCCTCTCCCCCCAGGGCCCCCAGTAAAATTCTATTTAGTGTTCAAGACAAAGCCATGATTTTCACTGAAAAAAATCCTCTCATAATAGAAGTGGTCTCACAGCTCACCTGTCATGATGTATAATTAAGCTTATTGCCTCAAACAGCACAGCGTTCTTTGCATTTGAGTGTTGTACTTTTTTTGACTTCGGTGGCTCCTGCGCCTTGTTAAGAATAGTCTCCAGGCATTCTGTCAGACGACCACGTACCGCAGGGTCTTCTGGAGAAGAACAAGCCGTTGGACAACTTCGTTTTGCTCAACACCCTAACCCCCACCTTCGGTCTTCCACCTTGCTAAATGGGAATAAACTGAAGTATTCTGACACATTAAAAACTGTTCCCTCTCCCCCAGTATACAGTTGGCAAAAGAATGCTAAGCCACAGTTCTACCTGGGTGAGAACAAAAGCCAAACGCTACCTGCACTATAATATATTTCAAGGCTTTAACGCAGTTGATAACGTTAAAGAATGTTTAAAATGGCAGTTGCAGCTGGCAAGATGCACACTGGTTTGACACTTCAACCTACGTGGCCTTTTGAATTACTCCGTATTTAACTCTGACAATCTGAAACACTCAAGGGTACAGCCTTCAGCATCCCTGTCTGAAGACAACGTGCTTGCACCCCAGATTCCGGTAACACTGCAGCGTAAGAGATGACCAGTGTTGTGATTTGTGCATTACCTGGAGGGGGATAGCACTGCAACAGCCTCAGAAGTTTCACAGATAACCAAGGAGCAGGAACAAAGTAGTACGTATAGTCCTGAAGATCTGTCGATGCTGAAGTTACAATCTGTAAAATAAGGAGACAGCGTGTCAGCTACCGAAGTGCTGCGCAGTCGTAAGAAGGACCCAAAGAACACTGCAGGTCACATCTGACAGAGGCTTGCAAACCTCTGTCCCTAGCCATGTTTAATTCAGTAGATTAATTAGGTGCAAGGTGTCATACTATAACTAAATCATCAGGATCCCAGGTAATAGAAATTCGGTTTTACAGATCCCATAGTCTTGAAAGTCCCTTCCTGAAAGCATCCTTGCTTTTCTTAAGAATGAAGGTGACCATCTTGTAACACCAAAATGTTTAACTAGAAGCTTGACTTCCTTTAGTTCAGCAATTCATAACACTAAATATAGTGTTCCAGGTGACTGCTGATCGGTGAACTTGGAATTCAAGTGCAAGGTGCTACGACAGGCTGAACTGAAGCAGGAGGACCAACTAACAGTAACATTCATACTCCAAAGCTTCCACAAAAGTGCTTCATATGCATAGTGAAATGTGATAAGGATCAGATCAGGTTTCAGAGGGGTTACCCCCCTTCATGGATTTCTTTTCCCCCTTTGATTTTAAGGTAAGCATGAGTTTGGCACTAGTTTTGCTCAAAGAAATTCTCAGTCTTGCTGCTCCATTACAGAACAGCTCTGCGCTTCCCTCAGCACTCCCTTGCTTTTAAGCATTACACAAAACCTTCCTATTTTAACAGGAGTTAAGTTTCTCTGAACTACAAGTAACTTGGGGTATAACACCACATAAATCTGTGTCTACCCATTTCTGAAGTAGTATCCCATGCCTGCATACCTTCCAAAACAAAACAGTAACGTAAGGTCTCCAGCATGAAGATTCTAACTTACAGAAACGTCTCTGCACTCCTCCCTGAACCTGCCCCTGCTTAACCCCCACACACCCATTTACAGAATACTAAATGCTTATGATTATATTATGCAACTCGAGAGAGGCAACAGGAAGAAGACTCATCTTGTAAGAAGCTTAGAAGATGTTAAAAGTAGGGGCTGTGTATGTGAGTTCTGTGCAGAGGTTTGCAGAATCAGTTTTTGAACCAACTACTCGTGTGCTATAACAACATCAAATGAGCGTTAAAAAAAAAAAATTCAACTGCATCACTTTATTGAGTTTGTGTGGCCAGAGTTTGGTAGTGGGGGAAGGGCTACAGGGGTGGCTCCTGTGAGAAGCTGCTAGAAACTCTCTGGCTCTAAGTCAGACCTTCCTCTGGCCAAGCCAACCCAATTAGCACTTCTGATTAACATATTTAACAGGGGAGAAAACCTGCAGGGAAGAGCTGGGATGCAAGCTAAACAACTATGCAGATACTGAGGTCACTAAAGAAAGAAGGGGAGGAGGTGCACCCGAGCAGAGCCTCCCAGAGCCAGTGGTGAGAGGGCAGGCTGTGCCCTGCAGCCATGGCGGGGCACGGGGGAGCAGAGACCCCCCC